CAACAAAAAATCTCACTTATATCTAAAATGGTTGTCTCACTTTGTACAATAAAATTATCATTTCGTCTCATGTAGTCTCAATTCACCACATTTTATTTTTGGCACAATTTTTTGTCTCCAATTTACCTACTAAAACAATCTCAATTCCATTTTCGATAACCCAAACCTCTATATGTGTCTCTTGCAGATTGATGCATAGCTATACTTGCAGTCGTTAGATCAATGAGTGGCTTGAATTAGATTTTGAAACACAACCCATTATTTTCTTTTGCAAATGGCTGCAACTCTAGCTGCACACCCATCCACAATAGAGCCAAACGAGTTTGAATTAGTTATCGAAAATAGAAATGGGATTGTTTTAACAGAAAATTTGAAAGCAAAGAGTTGTGTGATACACACTTTAATTTGACGTTTATTAATTTGATGAAATGGACGAGAGTTAAGTGAACTAAAACCAAATATGACAGATACGACAGTTTTATAGGGCAAAGCAAGACAAAATCAATTTTATAGGATAAAATAAGGGAATTGTTACTGGCACTTCAAAAATCTCATTCTGCACTCCAAATTTTTATAATTAGAAAGAACAATACAGTTGTGAGGAGTGTAGAATAAGATTTTGATATGCTAATAATAGTTCCCTAAAATAAAACCAAATGACAGTTTTAGAGACAAATTAATTAGATCAAATCCTCTCTATTTAAAATGAGCGTGGCCTTTCTGTAGCTCCAATAAATTTTACATTATTGCTAACATAAAAAACCAGTGTTAGATTTTTATTTATTTTTTAAAAAGTATAAAAAAAATAAAAATGACATCGTTATCAGAGGAACAGGCCCAGAAAGCCTGAAGGACTTGGTCCATCGTGTGTTGGCGATGGAGCCCGAGAGGGCCCAAGGGAGAGGCCTGGCACGAGTTGCCAGCCCGAGAGCCCGAAGGCAACGTGACGCAAAGCTTACGTCTGGACGACATCAGCCACATTTTTTATATTTTTTATGTCAGGCGTGTGCGCTTCAAGCCCCTTCGTGGACGCGCGTCGTCCGACAATATTTTAGACATGGGGCCCGCGGCGCATTTCAAAAATGTTACCATTGGGGAGGCCACGTGGCTTCCCCTCGTTCGTTTGATTTCAACAGCAACAATTTATGGACCGTTGGATTTCCAACGGTAAAAAACATTTAAAAACCTTATTTAATTTCAGTCGTTGGATCTAAGATCAACGGTCCACATTATTCGCCATTATAAATTTTAAAAAAAAGAAGAAAAAACAGTTTAAAAATAAAAAATCTTACCGTTGTGCCACGTGGCACAATCTAGAGTGTTGGAATTCAATGTTTTTTTAATCCAACAGTAGAGATGGCACAATCTAGAGTGTTGGAATTCAATGTTTTTTTAATCCAACAGTAGAGATTAATTATGTGAATAAAAATTAAAAAAAAATGTAAAAAATTAATAAAAATCAGAAGAAAAAAAATTTGAAAAATTTATAAAAAAAAATTGATTTTACTTTTCTATAATTACCTTCTCATTATCTTCTACCTTACACCACAATTTCATATTTTCTCAACTACTTTCATCCACATTCCTATCTTTCTCTCAAAGTTTCAATCCAATTTTTTTCCAACAAAATGACTACTGATGCAGGTACGAATTGGACGCTTATTGAAGATGTTGCATTGTGTACTAGCTGGGTTAAAGTTACTCATGATCCGATTACGAGTAATGAGATGCAGTTGCGAGAAATGTGGAGTCTTATTCATACCAATTTTCTTGAGAAAATTGGTGGGAAAAGAACCAAAGAATCGATTTCCAGTCATTGGAAATTACTTAGCTAATCGTTTAGTACGTGAAGAGATGCCTTGGCACAAGCTATTAGTAACCTTCGAAGTGGGGAAAATTTAGCAGATCAGGTAACAATATTTTGTTTATTTGTTTGTACTATACCCAAATTTACATTACCTACTTTGATTATAATTATTTCTTCTCCCGCATTGTGTAGGCACTTCAAGCACAAGCTTGGTATAATGCCAAAACCAAAAGCAAAAACAAATCATTCACCGGAATGTTGGAATATTGTCAAAGATTGTCCTAAATTCAAAGTTGTTTTTATCAGTCCAGAAGTTTTCATGAACAGCACCCCTTTACACTCTACGCCCGATCATGCCTCGCATGTCATGAAGATGACATAGAATAAGTGCCCGAAATGCCCCCCCTAAACAAGCGTCAGGGTCGACCTGTTATCCAATTAGGCCTTAAGGTAAAAAGGCTTCAAAGAGAAAAGGGAGTGCTTCCAAGAATGATTATGCAAAGTATATGGAAGAACTTGCTCACCAAGGTGAATTGACTTTGGCGTGGGAAATGGCTAAATTTAAGGCTGATAAGGCTAGAAAAGAGGCAAAAGCTGCAGCTGTTGAGAGAGAATTTCAAACTAATGAGAGAGAAAGAGAGCTACTTAGGCAAGAAAGGGAACATGTTAGAGAAGAAAGAATGGATCAACAAGATCGTGACATTATGAACACGCTTATAGAAGGGAAGTCTCCGAATTTTAAATATTTTTGGAAGTCGGAGAAAGCAGACGTGGTGCGAAGGAGGAGTGCAAAAGAAGCAAGAGCAAGAGGAGATGGTCCTAGCACGACAAGAGAAGATCATCCTAGCATCACAAATTGGTTAGGAGATGATGAGCCATTCACGAGCCCATAATTTTCCAATCACTTTGTTTGTAATCGGAGCCCATAATTTTCCAATCACTTTGGGTTGTAATTTATTATTTATTGAATTGAGTACTTTATGTTGTTTCCAATTTATTGAATTTGGTACTTTATTTAAAGTAAGAGTAAATTTATTTAATTTGGTAATTCATTTATACTAAGAGAATCTTTATTCAAAGGACATAAACACACCAAATAAAATTACATGAACATACCAAATAATAAAAAATAATAAAACTCACTAAATGAACTAAAAAAACACACCAAATAAAATTAAATAAACACACCAAATAAAAACAAAAACACTAAATGAACTTAAGTATCTTCAGCTTGTTTCAATTCCCACTGGTGCTCTATCAAGTCAATTTGTCAGACATTGTGCATATATGGCCTTTGAAGTGCAGTATATCATTGGATGAGCCTTTCATTGTAACGTCCATCCCTTTCTAATGGCTCGTGTTGCACGGGTTCTTCGATGGCGTCATGAGCACAATATATTTGTGTTATAGAATTGTTCATCGTGTCTGGCTTATATTCATCAACGGCATCATAATCGTACTCATCTTCCACAATCATGTTGTGAAGAATGATGCACGTCATCATGATGGATCGAAACAACTCTACATTAAACATTCTGGCAACACCCCTGACAACTGCCCAGCAAGCTTGAAGGATACCAAAACAACGCTCCACATCCTTCCTGCACCCCTCTTGACAGCTTGCAAAGTGTTTTTCCTTTGCACCTCGCGGACGTGGCACTGTTTTGACAAACGATGACCACCTTGGGTAAATGTCGTCTGCTAGGTAGTGGCCCGTCGTACTTATGTCAGTTGACTCAGTACGTGGCTTTTGGTGCCTTCCTTGCAGAACATCGTTGAACACTGAGGATTGGGTAATGACATTGAGGTCATTTTGAGCTCCCGGAACACTGAAAAATGCGTGCCAAATTCATGTATCAAAAGATGCAACCGCCTCCAAAATGATACTTTTTGCTCATTTTTCTGTCCCCATAAGCGCCTTGCCATGCACTTGGACAATTTTTCCAGGTCCAATGCATACAATCAATGCTTCCAATCATCCCAGGTAAACCTCGAATCTCGCCCTTCTTCAAAAGCCTTTGCAAGTCCATGTCAATAGGTCTCCGGATGTACTATGCGGTGTAGATAGATTCGATTGCTCCACAAAACCTCATCAGGGACTCAAGAATGGTTGATTTCCCCATCCTCACTATCTCATCCACTTGGTCTGCAGATGTTCCATATGCAAGCATCTGCAAGGCAGCGGTAATTTTTTGCTCAGGAAGGAGACCCATAGCACCAAAAGCATCCTTCTTTTGCACAAATTAAGAATCATGGTTGCAAACAACAATAATGATTTTGTTGAACAAATGTCGTTCCATTCTAAAACGACGTCTAAAGTACGTATCAGGGAATGCATTGTTACGGACAAAATAATGATCCAAGAGTTCCGTACCTCGTCATTGCCTGCTTCTATCAAGGTTTGCGGAACGGCTGGGCCTGCAAATCTGAGCAATTCTAAAAGGTAACGACACGTGGCATGATGACATTGGATAAAAATCTTATAGAAATCCATCACCAATAATTGTCTTTTCGGATAATGACACGTGACGCAATGAGAACGATTAAAAATTTTATCCAAAATTACAAATAAAATTATTTTGTATTATTTTATAAATTAAAAAAATACTAATATTTTATTGCCTATTGCCAGGGCTATTCAGTGTAGGGGTAGAGAGGCAAAAGATAGTTACTGTTCATTAAGGGCAGTTACTGTTCACTGGATGGATTAAATAGTGAATAGCCCAGGGGGGCCTTAGCAACGGTGGAATTGCTCTCATGGGCAATACCGACGCGACATTATCCTGCACAAGAGTGAAGCCCCTAGTTTCTGACTAGTTTACTATTAGACGCGTATCTTGTTTTGGATAACAACTCATGCCTAACGAATTTACGATTTTTGATCTAATAATAAGATGCTTGGATAACAGCTTATACGCAAAGGAATTTACTATTTTTGATCTAATTATAAGGTGTCATATGTGTAAAAACACATACATATTATTGGTTTATTATTTGAATTGGATGCCACCACAATGACAATGACGATGAACTCGTTCGATATAGCTGCTTTCATAATAAATGGACCACATGTACAAGGACAAGATTTGTCCTAGTCGTTGGCTTTTTCTTTCCTCTCTCTGCTTTGCAGCTCAGCAGACCAATAATGTAGCTTTTATCCTTTTACAAGAATTTCTACAAATACTCTTGAAATCTCTCTTCACATCACACTTTAACTCCTTGCTTTTGCTCGGAAAAACACAGACTCTCACACAAGATATATATTCATATACACATATATATATATAGTTGGAATAAGAAGCTCAAGCATTCAAGGTTTCTCTCACATTCTTTCTTCGACCATTTCCTTCAGATTATTCTCTATCACCAGGTACGTACTAGAGGAGCAATGCTATTGTTTTTTCTTTTTTTATTTACATTTTTTTTATCACTTGGTTTTCTTACGATATCAAAACTTTGATTCAGTTTATGTTCATTTTGTATATTGTAACTTGGTGGTTCGGACTGGTGGATTATAATAAGACCTGTGTTTAATGAGCTTAATCAAAGTTTGAAATTTGGGTTGTGTTTTTATCATAAAACCCCATCAAGCTAATTTAGCTTACAACAACAATCAAGCCATATCGTACTAAATGAGGTCGGTTGTATGAGTCCTATCACCCATTGCTTTGGTTAGACAATGGATTCCGAACGAAGAATAATAGTTTTGCAGTTTCATATATTGTGGTGGTAATATTATGTAATCTATGATTTGTAATTGATGATTAAGCAATGTGTAAATCTTCGCTCTGTTTCTTTATTTTTTATTTGTATATATTTTTTTTCTCTTTCTATATACTTGTTAAAATTTGATTTTTGTTCTGATGGAACTGGATCTTTTGACTCTAAGAAATATCAAGGGCAAGATTTTGGTTGCCCAAACCGGTTTGGAAGATTTGTTTTCGGCTAAATGTATTCGGGTTTTCGTAGGATCTTGACAACATATGGTACTGTGTTTGTGTATTTGTACATGTTCACCTCTTTGTGGTGTCTAAAGAGTAAGTCAAAGTGGATCGTCCCTTTATAAAGTTTTAGATTACGGTTAGGGAATTGTTCTATTTATAAAATTTAGACTATGGCAGAGGTATTGTCCTATTTATAAATTAGTTCACTTGAGTTATAATCAGGTTAGAGTGGGTTAATAAATCAGGTCGGGCATGAACAGACAACGGATCAATCCAACCCAATCCAATATATGACCGAGTTAAAATTGGGTTGAGTTCGAACGCATTATAACTATATAAAAAAAAACACCTGCTTGTTAGAATTTAAATTCAGATTGGACATAGACAAATTCGGATTGACCTAACCCAAATTGCACCTCTAGTCCAAACAAGCAAAAAAATATTGTTTTAGTAAATATGTATATTCCATAAATAAAAAAAGTAAATACGTATTTCCTATAAGACTACAGTAAATAGTTTCCTAAAAGAGGTTACTACTGGTGCGTTGTGGCCATTGAGAAATAAAAAAATATTAGTGCTAAATGTGCAATAAGCGTGTTAATCGTGCAGCTCTCGCACTTTAATCCTGCTATATATGGGCTTTGAACGTGTAATAACCCTGTGAAATTACATTATTTATTGACGTGGCCATGGCATTAATCCTACTTGGCAATGCACCCTGAAATTAATCGTCCATATTTTGCCAGTCGGGACCATAAGCACGAGCAAGGCACGCGCATTTGTGCGCAGAGCCGCTCGACGGCAGTAATTCCCACATGCGCGCTAAATTTGTACAGTTTTGTGTGTTTAAAAGTTGGCCGCCGCCGCCACCATTTCTGTCACTGTCTGTTTTTGAAGAACCTAGTCGTCATGGATCCCGAGAAAATTGCTCATGGGACTTTGTCGGAACAAGAAGAAGTTTGCCCAACTGCTATAGAAGAGGTGGCGTTGGTGGTGCCGGAAACTGACGACCCAACCCTACCGGTGATGACATTCCGGGCGGTGTTCCTCGGCATATCGACATGCACTCTATTGATCGTTCTCAACACATTCTTCACATTCCGTACGCAGCCGCTGACCATCGCCCCCATCTTAATGCAAATCATCATTTTACCCTTGGGAAAGTTGATGGCTTCCACTCTCCCGACGCGGGAGTACAACCTCCCCCTCCTGAATTGGAAGTTCACCTTGAATCCTGGGCCGTTCAACATGAAGGAGCACGTAATCGCCACCATCTTCGCCAACTGCGGGTTTTCTCCCGGTGGAGGCGACGCCTATCCTATCGGAGCCATTACTGCTATGAAATTGTATTACAAGCAGAGCGTGACTTTTCTTTGCGCCCTCTTCATGGAATTAACCATAAAGGTTGTCTTCTGTGTGTGTGTATTTTTGTGTGTGTAAATATAACAAGGGTTTTCATCTATCTTAATTTCTGGATTTTCTCGATTTTAATCGCAGATATTGGGATATGGATGGGCCGGAATACTTAAGAAGTACCTGGTTGACCCTATGGAGATGTGGTGGCCTTCCAACCTCGCTCAGGTTTCTCTGTTCAGGTATTTTGCTTTTAGTTCAGTTTAAGGTTTCCCATGTTGAGATTCTTGACACATACAAGTAATATATAGAAAATTTTATTCCAACCCATATTACGCATCTTTACATTTAATTCAGATTTTAATTGATTTTACTTTCTATGATATATACATTGACGTTGAAAAAAAAATGATATATACATTGACCTTTTTTGGTTAAAAAAATACACTCACGAAACTAGTCAAAACAATTCCAAACAAAAAGACAACAAATAACATTTCACTACTCACTAGACTTTGTTTATCTAATTTTTTGTTCTTCTACGAATAAGTATATTTATTTTCCAACCAAATGGAGTGATTAATTCCGTCATAACGTATAATATGCTAACTATAATTATGGATTTTATGATTTTCTAAAATTGTTTGTTGTTGGTGTTCCAGAGCACTGCATGAAAAGGACCACGGATCCAAAGGCCTTACACGGATGAAGTTTTTCCTCATAGCCTTGGCAGCGAGCTTCACCTATTACGCACTCCCTGGTTATCTGTTCCCGATATTGACATTCTTCTCTTGGGTGTGTTGGGCTTGGCCGCACAGTGTCACGGCTCAACAGATCGGCTCAGGTTACCATGGACTCGGAGTTGGCACCTTCTCCTTTGACTGGGCTGGGATTTCAGCTTATCACGGCAGCCCCCTCGTTGCACCTTGGTCTTCCATTCTCAACACTGGCATCGGATTTGTCTTGTTCATCTATGTCATTGTCCCTATTTGTTATTGGAGGTTTAACACATTCAATGCTAGAAAATTCCCCATATTTTCCAATGATCTCTTCACCTCCAGTGGGCAAAAATATGATACTAAACGGGTACTGACACCCCAGTACGATCTTAACATTGATGCCTACAACAGTTATGGCAAGCTCTATCTTAGCCCTCTTTTCGCTTTATCCCTCGGAATAGGATTTGCAAGATTCACAGCAACCCTTAGTCATGTGGCACTGTTTCATGGCGGGTACATACTTTCAATTTTACATAGCAATGACACTTAAAATTTGAACCTACAAATTGAAAACGAGGAGTAAGTTACATGCTGACAAAGTGACCACTGATTTTCTTTTCCTAGTGATGTGTTAGCACGAAGCAGATCGGCGATGAAGAATGTGAAAGTGGATATCCATGAAAAACTGATGAAACGTTACCAAAAAGTACCTCAGTGGTGGTTCCTCGTTTTGTTTATAGTGAGTGTTGCACTGTCCCTATTAACGGCTTTTATATGGAAAGACGTTGTGCAGCTGCCTTGGTGGGGGATGCTATTTGGCTTTGCCTTGTCTTTCATTATCACCCTCCCAATTGGTGTCATTCTAGCAACCACCAACCAAGTACGTAGTTTTCTATCTTCTCGATGGTTCTTTCATCTCCATTTGGTACTTGTGAGAGGGTGCACAACAATTTTTTGCAAAAAAATATCGTGCATTGTGACGTTTGCACGTCTAAATTAATTTTACATCATATTTCAAATTCTTATGGCTTTTTTCTGTGCAGCAACCTGGATTTGACATCATATTTCAATTCATTATGGGGTATATGCTACCAGGAAAACCCATTGCAAACATTGTTTTCAAATTCTATGGACGAATCACCACTGTCCAAGCTCTCTCTTTCTTAGCTGACCTTAAACTTGGGCACTACATGAAGATTCCACCTCGCTCCATGTTCATAGCTCAGGTTAGTTCACATTTTATCTATTATGTTAAACATGGTCTTTTTCCAGTGTAGTAGAACTAAACTAATGCGTGCGAATTCTCCAGCTAGTGGGAACTCTGGTTGCCGGTACTGTCAACCTTGCAGTTGCATGGTGGATGATGGAAGGTATTAAGAACATATGTGACATTGAAGGGCTTAATCCTAACAGCCCATGGACTTGCCCGAAACACAAATTCACCTTTAGTGTTTCTATTCTATGGGGCCTTATTGGACCAAGGCGACTGTTTGGACCTGGAGGATTGTACAGAAACTTGTTATGGTTATTTCTTGTTGGAGCTATTTTGCCAGTTCCCATTTGGATATTGACCAAAAGATTCCCAGAAAAGAAGTGGATTTCATTGATAAATATCCCGGTCATTACTTATGGTTGTGCTGGGATGCCACCAGCTACTCCCACTAACATAGCAAGTTGGCTTGTCACTGGAACCATCTTCAACTATTTCGTGTTCAGATATCGTAAGCGCTGGTGGCAGAAGTACAATTATATTCTATCTGCAGCATTGGATGCTGGCACAGCTTTCATGGGTATCCTAATCTTCTTTGCCTTTGAGAATCGACACAAAAGTGTTGACTGGTGGGGCTCTGAACTTGACCACTGTCCTCTTGCAACATGCCCTACTGCACCTGGTATTGTGGTTAAAGGATGTCCTGTTATTTGAAAATATAGCTAGTTTTGTATCAGGTTTATGTTTCTGTTGTCTGTTAAGTTAGTAGTAGTAAAATATGATCATTTCTTTATTTAGGTATAATTTGGCAACTGTTAGCCTTTCAAATGTGTTGGTTTTGTCTACTGAGATTATGATTTTTTTATCACAACTAAATTTTAGTGTATCGCTTATCATCTCTTCTATAACATATTAAAAAATCACCATTATCCGATCTACATGGTGACTTCTACATCAATTTAAGTAATTGATGTACAGTGAGGCTTTTCTTCTGGACCAGCCTTAATATGTTGCCAAAAGCATAAAATTCTATTGCTCAGATGAAAAACTATTCTTCATGCAAGTTATTCATAGCCCTAATTTCGCTCCAACATTTTTTTTCTTAGAATTAGAAGTGTACAGCGGGTTATGCCGATCTGTACAGTATATGAGCACTGCTCGTAAAGTATGAGTTTGGGCTTATATTTGACACTAGTCTTTGTAACGATGGAGGCCCAAAAATACAAAGGCAAATAGGAGAATGGGCTCGGACAAGTTGATAGGCCCGAGAGGGATTGGAAGCCATTTCAGCAAGGCAAAAGCCACCGCATGCCTATGTTTGAAGTGATGGGCAACAAATGGCACCTCATCATCAACAAAAAGCACTTTTCAAGGGCATGAGTGAATAAATAAGTTATGATTCAATGCCCTCTGAAAGCCATTAACTAAAGGCAAAGCTTGGACAGTTGAGCCAAATTGTCTATAAAAGCAGAGAAAGACACCAAAGATAAGGACACTCAACCAATCAATCAAAAGACATCGAAACTTTGCTCTCAGACAAGTTCGTACCCAAAAAGTTGCATTTTGTCCAGATTTCCCCTTTAGTTGTAGAATCCCCATAGAAAGCCCTCTTTTGTCAAGTTTTGAAGCTCTGCTACCTTCTCCTGGTGTTGTAGTATTGATTCCCTCTAGTAAAACCTATTTACTTTTCATTCCCCAAAGACTACAGCCTTTGTAAAACACAAAGAGAAGTGGTTGCAAGAAGTTGAACCTTGCCCGACAAGGTTAAGTCTTGCTCGAGTCTCTTTTGTTTGTACTTACATATAGTAGATATGTTGTTTAATGCATTTTCCTTCATGTTTCAAATCATTTTTTTTACTATGTCTCCACTCAAAAGTCTCATTTGTAATCAAATCTGGATAAGTAAAAAAACTTGTTTTCATTAAAGCAAACTTTGATTGAAGAAATGGTTGGAAGGGCTTTGAGCTCCCTTCATTTTGGACATACAATATCACAAGTAAAAGTCCTTGTTTATAAGGCAAGAAAAGAACCTTATACAGACTTAACCTATTATGACAATCCATTGATAAACAAGAAGTCTAAGTAACTTGTGTCGTAAGTAATCAACTTAATTTACACTTGTACAATAATCTGTTATACAAAGATAACAATGGCACACTCAAATCTATGTTAGCTTTAATTGTGCCTTAAGGCCTAAATAAAAGCCTTACAAGGGCACCTTTCAAACTAACGATAAACTCGTATTGCAGCACACCATGTAGCAAACCTTGCCCGATAGACAAGAAAGAGCAACAGCCCCGGGGAGCTATACGAGGGACCAAATCCAAGATCCAGCCCCGAACAGTAAGCCAAGCACAAAATGATGCAAATTGATAATGCAAACCAAAGCGCAATGTTGTAAGCAATCACCAAGTTGTCCCGTATTTTAAGCATTTTGTAATTGAGGGCAACCCTCAAGCACATATTTTAGCCTTGTATCACTATAACCGGCAAATATAACTGAAAGAGTTTGAACCTATGTCCATATTGTCCAATGTAGTTAAAACATCGATCAATCAATGAACTTTTTTTTTTAACAAGAAACTATAGCGTGGTATTTCATTAATCAACACAAACAATTACAAGGGTGCCATTGGGTACATAGCTCCAGTGACCAATAAATTGATCTGGAGTGAATTTGCACAAACTGACAAATAAGAGTAAACCCCTAGCAAACTACCACAAGCACAAACACATAATCGCCAAGCACACAAGTACCACAAGTACAGCTTTGTCACAATAAACAATAGACGCAACAGAGAAATATGGGCAGCCATAATGGTCATCGTTGAATAGTAAGGCCACATATAGAACAAGACCACATCAAGTGATCGTTGACAGACGAGACTACATAACGCATCGCACAAAGGTGAAGACTAATGTAGCTAAAACAATAGTGCCACCACAGTGCACGTAAGGCAAGTGAAACATAACTACACTACTTTGATAAAGGATTCATTGGTCAACTCTTCATAGTGGAGGACGAGGCACTCAAGCCAAGGCCACCCAATTGTTCACCGGACAGTGAGGTACCGGTATCCACATCGAACACCATAAGAGTTAGCTGTAACAGGCAGCGAAGCTGCCAAGTCCGAGACCCATAAGCCGAGCCGTACCGAGTTGTCAGATCTGAGTGCATATGTCAGTGCAGCCATAAGAACCAGACAAGGAAGGTGACACCACCATGGGAACGAGTTGGCGAATGTGTATTCAACCCATCTACAACACGAATCCAACCCCACACCAAGATAAATGAGCTCCAAATAAATAAATAAATCTTGAAAAGGCATGGCCCATATCAGGGTATAAGGCATAAATTCATGGAAGCTACTCATAAAATGGTGGGAGATAAGCAAAGGATGGGAGATGAGGTAGGTGAAGGCTGGGAATGAGTGGTCGGCATGAGGTTAGGGGGGAAGATGTCGTGTATGGCGAAGGGAAAAAAGGTTGGGATGGAGAAGAGGGGGAAATAAAAAGGGAGGAAGGGCTAGGAGAAGAAAAGGGAGGAAGGGCTAGGAAAAGAAAAGGGAGAAGTTGCCACGGGCCACCAACCACAGCCCGAGGCCCACGATGATGGAGGTAGTCGGTTAGGGTTTTGTTGAGATAGAGCTTTTGGATAGAGAAAGGAGAAAGAGATCTTTTTATTGGTGCCTTTGAGTTTTTTTCAGTCAATAAACTAGAAACATCAAGGTGGGTAAGCATTTTATAGGTCATAATTATTGCTTTGAAATCTTCATTTGTAGACTCACTGTTGGAGGATAAAATAATATACCGTTAATAAATGGGAGATTCCACCCCTATTATCACCAAGACATTTGGTGATAGAATCCAACACTAGTAATAGTTAATCAAGTAAGACAATATCAATGATGTTGGTGGTGGACCATGATGGGCCTAAAAAAGTGATATTATAGTAGGTTATTCTCTCAACATGTTCTGGCCAGACTTATTTATCTTGAATCTGCTTCCTTAAGTTGGGCTTTCATAAAGATGTGCTAGCTCCAACTTAAGGTATTGAATGAGGCTTTCGAAAATATTAGCGTTGGCTCTAGTGATTGAAAATACCAACAGACTAAGCTCTCAAAAAGATTGGTGTTAGATTCGATATAATAACTTGACCAGTTCCTTTGTGGGAATCAGTTTCCCTTATAACCCCATGTGAGGTTATTTATGAGGAGCGTGTTGGAGAATAGGATCCCACATCAGCCATATGTCAAAATATATAATTAATACATAGGCGATTCTACCACTAACATCATCAAAACCTTTTGTGATAAACCCAACTAGTATAAGTTGGAACAATTTCAACAATCTAATTAATGTTAGTGGTTAACCATGTTAAGCCTGAAACAATTTATCAACTCACAAGAAGTTTCGGGCAGTTCTTTGACTCAACCATTAAGTACAACCACATGATTGTATGCATCTCCACCATTGGCCCCAAATAATATAATGGCAATCATTTGTTGCTTGTCTTTCTATTTAAATATAAATCAATCTCAAATCTCAATCTCGAGATCCAATTGTTATTTAACTCCTCTAAATGTGCCCATTTCTGGTCATTCACTTTGAACACAAGAAAAGAAACCATGGAAGTGGAAAGCAAGGCCAAGCTATTAAACAAAAAGAAGAGCTTTTCTCACTCAACTGTTCTCATCGCCATTTGCCTTTTTTCACTCTTTCTGATTCTTATCCTATATCTTGCACAACCCTCTCCTTCCTTCTCTCCCGCCTTGAAACTCCAAAACTCGGTTACATTTCTTCCTCTCAAAGACACAAGGTTTGCCAACACTGCAATGAAGGGAAACACTTGGTTTATGAGCTCCTTGAACGACACATATGAAGAAAATGAATCTGAATACCTTTATTTCCCTTCGAAGGCGTCCGACGAAAAGCTATTGTGCATTAAAGGGAATGACATAAGCGACGGCACCAGAAACTCATATGCCTTGGCATATCCTGAAGGCCTACCAAACTCCACCACATTCTTGAAGGGTCTCGCGTTCATGTCCGACACATTCTATGACTACGGAAACTTGTGGCACGAGTTAACGGCCATGATGCCTTTTGTCGGTTGGTCTATCAAAAATCGATGCGCAAAGCAGGCAAGGTTAGTGCTTTTCCATTAGGGAGAGCTTAGAGTTAGAGAGAAAATGGGGCTGTGGATTCAGAATGTGATGCAAGCGAATTTCAGGCAAGTTCCGGTCGAAGAATTCGAGAAAGATGAAAGGCCTTATTGCTTCGAGAAGGCGATGGTGATGAGGCATAATGTTGGGAAAATGGGGAAGCAGAAGAAGCTTCAAGTGTCTGACTTGTTGAGATGTAAAGTAAGACAGTTTTGTGGCATAAACCCGAATGGCAGAGGCAGAGAGGTCACTTTGAGAGGGGAGCCAAGCATAACGTTGACATTGCTAATGAGGAATGGATTAAGATCGTTCAAGAATCCGACGGCTGTGATTAATGTGTTCTCAAGGGAGTGTGCGATGGTGGATGGGTGTACGTTAGAGGTGGTTCAGTCTGAAGATCTAAACTTCTGTGATCAGGTTTGCTTACTTTTTTTTCTTTTTTCATTTCTTTATTCTGAAGAGCCGAAGTTCTAGGGTTAAACGTGTGTTGCGTTGGCAAGAATTAGGTGAACTTAGATGAGATAGATGACAGCTTTTTCAAGATTAGGTTTGACTAAAAGGCATTGTAATTACATATACTGTGTTATAAGTGAGAATTCTATATTTCAAGTTAGAAGAGTGTTAGCGTCAATCAGTCGTGTGTAAGTGCATGACATGTTAAGAGAGCAACATATGCCCATGTCCAATCCGACGCACTTCCTAGTCAAACTTAGTGGCTTAACGTACCAAACTTAGTGTTCTTGAACAGGTTAAACTGATGACAAGCACAGATATCCTTGCATCCCCACATGTAGCGTAACTAACAAACATGCTCTTCATGGATAGAAACAGTAGCGTAATGGAGTTCTTCCCCAAATGATGGCTGGAGCTTGCAGGGGTAGGTCAGTATGCTCATCACTGGATGGCCGACCTGTCTGGTATGAAGCACCGGGGTGCTTGGTGGGATCCCTATGCCGAAAAAGAATGCCCGGACCCCAAAAAAGAACTGGAATGCTTTCTGTTTTACAAAGATGGGAAAGTCGGTCGCAATGAAACCTTCTTTGCAGACTGGGCAAGAAATGTCCTTGAACAAGTAAGAACAAGCAAGCTAAAACAAGACATTGAGAGTTTGCAGAGAAATTCAAATGTTTGCCAATGCTAGCTGGCTGAATCAGACAAATATTTACCAATAAACAAGCAAAAGATTTCACCATGTTGTAACCATATATATCTGTAACAAGCATTTGACGAGTAGAATCGCATCGTTTCATTCTCCACACAAAAGTTAAATATGGTATAAAGAAACCAAGATAAGAAAACATTGTCACATACTGCTTACATGATTAGTGGGGTTGTTGTACAATGACGCTATAAGCACAATCCTTTGAGAAACTCGAACCAAGATTGTTAAGATGTTCAACTTGTTTAGTGAACATGAACATGACGATAGCTTTACAATGAAACAAGTATTTGTGTTGTCGATGAAACCTCTTTTAGCCTTAAAACACAGATGTTTGTAAGGCATGAAGTATCCAAAGTATCTGATCTTCATCTGAACAGTTTGGACCAAAAGTATACCACGAAGAAAAAAAGTAGTCCAAAAGCCACCACGTGGACAACATGGTTTGATCCACTCCGGACGATGCTTCGGTTCAATCTCCTGACATTGTTCTTCAACCCTGCTTGACCTTTCAACAATGTCATATGTTGTAACAAAAGAGACAAAGATATGTTTCAGAAAGCTGTGCACGTGCCACCCATCATACTGCTGTTAGATTTCGTTATTATTCAGAAACTTTCTATCCATCCTCTAACTAAAGATTTTCAAAGGTATAGATAGGGTCTTGTATGGGGAAAAAAAGGTTTTTCTCTTTTAAATTTTTATTTGGTGTGACTTTGCATTTTCCTCGGCCATCTTTTTTAATTTAAAAAATCATGTAGCAATTTAAGCAGTGTATGATGTCTATCCGGCGTAGATTGTAGTAGTAATCCATCTTATCCATCATCCCCTATAGTTCAAAATAAAGTGAAATATGCAAGCAACAATGTCTAGAGTATGATAGCATACCAGCTGATCCAGAAATTCATTCTGGAATTTTGCTTCCGTACCTATAACTTGAGCTACCTGCGCCAAAATAAGAGAACATTTCTTTATTCTACATAGATTTCTATTGCAATCGAACTGCTGAAATCAATTTTACAAGTCATGATGCACCACAATTAAGCTATAAGATGAATTATGAAACAAACAAATGTACAGAGGCAAAACATGAAGGCATTCGAATTTATGCAAAACTCATTTAGTTTAATCATAACCTATATTGAATAGGCTTCAACCAATTAGATATCTATAACCAAGCAAAGAAGTAGATTACAAGCCCACCCCCCATGAAAACCATCATCTGAAAACCAAAAAGAGGACACAACACTATACACAATAGATACTTTAACAATGTTCCATAAATACTTCTATAATAATTTTAAGGTTGTCACAAATCTAACACCAGTTGCTGAAACCATAGACCAGATTCCAGATTGAGAAAAGGAATGCACTGCACTGAAGCCCTCCTCAGAATAGAAGAATTATGTAATAAGTAAAAAAATCAATAACCAGGTCATTGGATCTACCATATCATAGCTATAATTCAGCAAGCACCAATTAATTTATGACCATGATAACAAGTGCAATGCAAGTGAATAATTACAACTAAAAATCCAAATGAAAAACATATGGCTCAACATTACATCCTTCAGCTAATAGCAACAAAGACCGAAAGTAACCAAATCTTGGTAAAAGGTTAAGTGCAAGTATTTAAATTCAGACATGTCCTAGACCATTAAGAAAGATACATGAATCTGTTCCACATAGCAGGAATGCCAATACATAACAATGACGGGACCAAACCAATATATATTAACATTTCCAAGGTGCGCCAACATGAATTCAAATGCCCAAACAAAATACTCAAAAGTAAAAAGAAATTTGGAGTGCGTACATTTCTCAATCTTCTACTTGGTTGTGGAGGCCTTTGATGTCTTCATCCAAGTCAGCATACATTGGATCAATCCTCAATTGGATTTCGTCCATGTTAGCCGCTGGTCTTGGGTTAAGACCCTTCCTGAAGAATCATCATTAATACATTTACACCGAACAAATTCACACAAAACAAAAAACCTGTGTGAAATTAATACCTTGATCTATATGGGACAACATTTCCATAGCCTGCCATTAGAAACCCTAGAGTTTGTGTTTGGTGAGATGGCGTAAGCAATCGTCTTTTATTTCAAATTCAATGGGTAAATATGTTGTCTTGATGATTGCCCACCGTTAGATTTTGAGTCTTCAATGTTTGACACACAAGGATTTTTGTTATAAACCATAATTTTAGGAAGATGGACTGCCTCAAAATACATGTTACTTTCATCTTTAAGAGATTTATAATACGCCAAAAAAGAATTTCCCCAAAATCTCTCTAATAATATCATGAACAATGAAGCTTCAACTACAAAATTGTAGATAAAATTCAAGAAGTATTTAAGTGTACATAAAAACCATGATGTGCATAGATCATAAGGTCCAGGTCAACTAATCCAGCTCGGAGTTTGCACCTAAATTCCATCATTAGAATTATCTCTAAACAAGGTACCAATTTAAATTACCCAATAACAAACCCATTAGGTTAAGAGGGAAGTCATATAATTTCCTATATAACATAATGATAATTTGACTGAACCAGAAAACCCCCAATTTGGATGACTGATCCCAATACCTCCACAACCTAATCTCCCATCGGAAACCCTAATTAGACTTATTATTACCCAAACAAAGGCTGATCAAAACTCCCAAAACATTGGAGCTCTATTTCAATCAAATCTCCCCCCCCCCCCAAAAAAAAAAACCAACAATTCCTAACCAAAATTACTACCGAAATTGCAACATAATTTGTAACTAATCACAAATGAAATTCAAATTGGGAAACTGGCAATGCAATCTAATGGAGAAAGAAAAATGACATAATTTAAAGAAGAAATGAAGGAAAATAGGCGAATGGCAATATCTTCGTCAGCGATTAGACACGCCGGCTGCGAATGATGACAGCAAAGAGGTTCCTGGACAAGTTGGAGAGAAAATGAGGAGCTAGAGAAATGGAAAAATCGGCAGCCTCGCGTCGGACCAAGTATAGAAGCTGTTATTTCGAGGAACGAGTCTAGAAACTATTTGGGTATTTCCATTTTTTTATTGGTAATAGCATTTCGAATAGAATAGTGTTCGCCTGCTTACTCATATCTATGAATCACAATGTGACATGTGGTTTAAATAATTAATTAGTGGCTTTTAAGTTAAAATGATTCATGAAATTTGCATAACTCTTCACTTTAGTTTCTGAAATTTGAAATTAATAGAAGTGGTCATTGAGTTTGTCTCCCTTCAATCATTTTGGTCATTCGTGAAAATCTCCATTAAATAAGAATAAAATGACAAAAAAATACGCTAAATTTTTGTCAAATCATTTTTTTTTTCGAAGATAGAAATATATTAGATTCAAATAAAACTGTTTACATCCTGAGCAAGAAAGTTAAACAAAAATTTTGGGCCAATACAATCCTAGACAAAAGCTCGACCCTCCTTAAATACGTACTTAGCCACTGAGTGAGCAACACGATTGCTCTCTCTAGACACGAACACGAATGATACAGATGTCAACCTTCACGCTAGAATCTCAATATCATTAAGTATACATTCAAGGCTAAAGTCATAAGGCAATTCTCTCCTAAGCATCTGGATAATCACCTTGGCATCGAATTCGATAATCATTTTATCAAACCCATTGTCAATGCAAGCCGACACGGCGTCACGAATCGCACACGCTTCAGCTGCAGCTACAGTGTGACAAAGTCCGGCACCCGAGCCTCCCATAGCCTGAAGGTGATCGGTAAATTTGCAACAGACCCAACTTGTACCCACGCACAAAGTGTTCTTACACCAAGCCGCATCAGTATTGACCTTGATAAACCCATACTTCGGCTTCTGCCATTGAAATTCCCCACAAGTCGCAACCATTGTCGTCAGCCCTCTCTTTGGACATTCACCTGCAGGCCCCCGGGACATAGCATCTCTGAAATCAAAGATATTACTCCTCCAAACCTCCAAAACCTCTAAGGGTTGACGGTGCACTCCGTTGAATACCACCTCATTCCTATTTTTCTAGAGTTTCTACAAGCCAAAAGCAAACTCCTGCATAATCTCATTAGTATTATCCCTTCCCTTGACCCTGTTACAGAACGTTTTTGAACTTGCCAAAAAACCAGCACCTGCCAAGTTATAGGAGTTTAGTTGAAGCAGAAAGCAGAACCAAAACAGGTGACTGAAATTGCATCGGAAAAATATATGGTTTTCCGACTCATCCACCATACTACACACCCATAAACATTATCAACCCTCATGTATCATATTTGCAAATTACATCTAGCAGCCAATGCATTGTTGCAGCATCACCAAATGAAGAGCTTAATTTTGTTAGGGACCTTCAAACTCCAAATTAGATTCCACACTTGGTTATACTTCTGCTTATTACTAGACGATCCTCGTCATTTCCTCCCTAAGGCTCCATTTTCCATGAGACTCACGTCCACTCTATACTCGGACCTAACCGAGTAATCCCCGTTCACAGTATGGTGCCACACCAGTCTATCACAACAACCAGTCCTGCTTAAGGGGATACTTAAGATCGGAGCCACATCATCCTGATTAAAGCCTGCCGAAATCATATTGGCATCCCAAAATTTTGAGGCCGAGTCGATTAAGTCACTCGCCAAAGTTCCTTGTAAGCACACCCGTGGCCTGACTTTGAACACGGAAGGTTTAGGGAACCAAAGGTCCTCCCTAATATTGATATTGGTACCATCACCCACCCTTCACCTTAATCTCTGCTGTAACACCTTACGTGCTTAAAAAATGCCCTTCCAATCCCATGGCATATTCTTCCCTCTACAAGCATCCTGAAAGGATTTCCTAGGAAAGTATTTGTCCCTCAAAACAGTTGCCATAAGAGACAAAGGATTATGGGTCAGGCGCTATCTAATCTTGGCCGGGAAGGCCATATTGAAGCATTAAATGTCTTTGAAACCCAAGCCTCCGTACTGTTTTTGCTTCATTAATCGTTCCTAGGAAATCTAGTGGACGCCTTTCCGCTGCACATTACCTCTCCACTAGTAGTTTCGCATAGCTTTTTCTATGTCCCTGCACATCCTAATGGGTAACTTAAAACAACTCATGGCGTAGTTTGGCATAGCCATGGCCACCGCCTTAATAAGGACTTCCTTCCCCGCTTGGGACAGGAACTGCTCGGCTCAACCCACCATGCGATTCTCAATCTTATCCCGAACCTCCTCAAAGACAACTTTTTTGGAGTGTCCAAAATTTTCTTACAGCCTTAAGGACTTCTCGAAACCCGCCTTACATTGAATGGCTATAGTTTTCTCAATTTCCTCCTTGGTACAGTTTGTAGTCTTCGAGCCAAAGAAGATCGAACTTTTAGACATATTGATTTCGTGGTCAGATCCCAGTGCATAAATCTCCAGCACATCCACAACCCTTTACGCTTCCTCCACCATAGCATTTCCAAACAACACAAAATTGTCCACAAAGTGTGTTATCAGAACCCCTTTAGGCGTCACCCTAAACTTGTTGAGAACACCCTACTCCAACCCATTCCCAATCAACATGGAAAACACTTCGGTATAGAGAAGGAATAAGTATGGAGATAATGGGTCTCCTTGTCTCAACTCCCTCTTCGGCAAGATGAACCCAGTCGGGGTTCCATTAACTAGAATACTATAGGAAGCAGTAAAGATGCATTCCTTAATCCATCTACAAAATAGCGGTGCAAAACCCATTTTTACCATCATAGATAGAAGGAACTCTCATTCCACGCGATTGTAAGCCTTAGCCATGTCCAACTTTATTGCCATGCCTACCTGATCCTCATTTTTTTGGTGAAGCAGGGAATGCAGAATTTCATGCACCACAAGTATGTTGTCTTGAATTTGTTTCCTAGTGACAAAGGCAGATTGATTGTTGCTAATCACCTTTGGCATCACCTTCTTTAATATGTTTGTAAGTACCTTGGCAAGGATCTTATAGATTACTTTGCAAATCGTAATAGACCGGTATTACATCATGTTATTCGGGTATTTCACCTTTGGAATGAGCACTAAGTTAGTGTGGTTTAATTTCCGTAAGAGCATAGCCGAGTGCCATAATGCTTTGACTATCTTCAGCACGTCCTTCCCTACAGTGCCCCAATGGTCCTGGTAAAAACAACAAGAGAACCCATCAGGCCCCGGGGCTTGCTTAGGCAGGATTTGAAAAGCTGCCTTCTCAATTTCACCATCTGTCACATGAGCCATCAAAGCAAAGTTATCCTCACATGTCACTCAGGCCTCCAAACAGCTCTCAATCTTGTCAATATGACAAGGCCTACTAGTCTAAAATAACTCAGAGAAATAAGTTGTAGTAGAGCTAATCTCGGCATCACTCTCTTGCCATACCCTATTCGAGTCTTCTAATCCCCGAATTTGGTTGAAACTGCACATTTTCAGCGTTTGCGTATGGAAGAACTTTGTATTCTTGTCTCCCTTTTTAAGCCATTGGGTCATCGACTTTACTCTCCAGTATGAGTTTTCATTCTTATGGGCGACCCTGAGCTCCCTCTCTTTTAGTTTAACCTCCTTCATGGCAAACCCACTAGATTTATAAGCTGCTCTGATCTCTTCTTTCAAATGCTCAATGACTTTCTTAAAGTTCCTGCATTTACCTCTATACCACGTCTTTAAGCTTCTCCTGAGGGTTTTCATTTTTTTCATAAAATCGAAAGGCATGAGAACCTCCGAACTTATCCCTCCAATCCCCTTCCATCAGATCACGGCACTCCTCCATCTTACTCCAGCGCGCATCATAAGTTTATTTTCTACCCACCCACTCACTCACCTTCTCTGTGGATAGAAAAAGTAGGGCATGGTTGGACCCTTCCAACACCACATGCCTGAGTTTGGTATCGGGGTAAAGATCATGCCACCCTATAGTTGTTAACCCTTGATCAAGACGTTGTTGTATTGGCATAACCTCTTTGTTATTCCACCACGTAAAGGGGTAACCTTCATAGCCCAGGTCTATGAGCTCATTCCGAGCCACGAACTCTCTGAAATCAAGCAAACTAGAAGCCATTCTATAGTTGCCGCCTTTTTTTTCTTCATTACAAAGGATATCATTGAAGTCCCTTATGAGGAGGCTTTTGTCCTTGTCTTTTTCTATCCGTTTGTTTAGACTCTGCCATTGCTCCCTCCGCTTTTTCTCATCAATACTGGCATAAATGGCAAACAAGCGCCAATGACATTTTTTATTCTCATCTCATAGTCTTACTTCAATCACAAAGTTCCCAGACTTCACCAAGATCACTTGTGAGTCGTTTCTCCAAAACACGCACAACCCGCCACCAATGCCTCTTGGTTCCACCGTGTGCATATGCTTCATTCCCAATTTCCTTTTAAGATACCCACAGTGGCTGCTTTTGTTCTTTGTTTCTAGTAGGATCACTATGTCGGGGGTGTAGAGCTGATTCTACTCCAGCAAATTGTCAACTGTCAGGTCACCCCGAAACCTTGACAGTTCCATGCGATTAGCTTCATGGGGAGTTGGGAAACCCCTCACAACTGGTCTCTTCTGCCTTTAAGAATAAGCTATTCCTTGACCGATTACTTTTAGGTTCCACACATTGAAATGGCAAGGTCTACTCCACTTTTTGATGTGATCACTTTTTCCCTTTATGCTCATTCATCACAACCTCGATAATAGGTGCCAATTCGAAAAGATCATTATCTATAGCCTTGTCCCTCTGCATCTGTAACACCTCTCACCCGTTCAACTGAATACCAAACATCCCCCTATCAATACCCTCTCCAGTAATTAGCACAAGGTTTAAATCAAATTCTTGGTCGGTTTCCGAAGACACACTAGCCACATTCGTCCTTTCTTCCAGCTCAGGAAGTACATGAATGACAACATGCTCAGCTCCAACAACAAGCATGTTCCTTAGTCCAATTAACCTAGAATCAAAAGCCATTTATCTGGCCCTTCTAACATCCTCATTTTCCAGCAGTTGGCGGCAGATTTTTTCAGCGAGCTTAGTGTCTCCATACCCACATTTTCTCGAAGACTAGTGAGGCTTACTCGGCGAGGTA